GGTTAATTAAAATCACAAAGCCACAAAACTGATCGCATGCGCACACCCAACTACAGCGTTGACGGGAAAGCCAAGCTTATCGCGATCTATAAATACTCGCATAGTACGCAACTAGTGTGTGCTTGATTGCCCCCCTCCTCGCCCATAGGCCACACCACTTTGTAAATGTGTGCCTGAGTCTGAGTTTAAGTCTGGGTCTGGGTCTGGGCCTGGGCCTGACACTCGAGCAGTCTGTACATAAATGTATATAAATAAACGTGTGTATGTGTGCATAGAAAAAGGTGAGGCCGTAAATTAAGTGCCAGCCTCCAAATGTCAAAACATATGCCAAAGTCGGACACCAAGTCGGGAATTCTGCGACTGTCGATAGATACAATAAAAAAATAACCCACAAAAAATAAATATATATATAAAAAGCAGGCCCACATGTAATAAGAACCGCTAGCGGACAATGACCATGACTGAGACAGCAGCAAAAGCAGTAGCAGTCACAGTTCCAGTTACAGTTGCAGTTACAGTTGCTGTTACTTTTGGCCAAGCTGTTGTAAGCCATTAAGTCGCACGCCTGTTTGACTAACGAATCTTGCAGTTGTCCACAGTGGTGCAAGAGAAATTCAAGCATTATGCAAATAATGCGCAAAGCGCATGGCTTAAAAAGGAACATAATCAAAAAATTAATAAAAATATTACACATTAAATTTGCATCTGCCCAACAGATCTAATCGTTCGATGGCTTTAGTGTCAGCAAGCAGATCCTCAGGCAAAAAAAATATAACCTAGTCCGGTCTTAACAAGATGAAACAAAGCTACTTAAAACCAAAAGCTATTGTTAAACTATGAACCCTCCGATATTCACTCTGATAAAAGTTGCTAATCAACAGTAACAACATTCATATAGTAATAAAAATAAATACATTGAAAACAACAAATAGCAAATCTTAAAACTAAAAGCCTAATCGGATTACAAATATTTCCTATATTATCAGCGACACGATGAAGGTATATTATTCGCCTATAATTGTTGGCTTCTTTGCGTTAAACTTGCTTAGATGCTACTTTTTTTTTACTATTTATAATTGATAATATTTAATTTTTTGGCATTTGGCAACATTTTCGAGCTCAATAAGATATAAACTTCAAAATTGGTTTGAAGCTCAAATTTGAAGAGTATTTCTGCTGTTAGGCTGAGTATATACAATAAGGCTCTCACAACGGACACTCCTATTAGGATGCTATCCCTCTTGAGCGGACACGGTAGCTCAGATCATTATGATCCAGGCCATAACGATTTCCTCTCCACTATGCGTCAAATTCTCTTGGGCGGATTTAAATTACTCTGTTTGATCACGAAGAGTTTTCCTTGTATATCCATATTTTACATTGTAATTGGCATAATTTTATTAGCCGCATTGGCAGCTGGCAACGGAGAACTCACATAACCCAAACGTATTTGGTTGAAAGTCGCAGAGCATTTGCAAAATTGTATTCGGCTAACAGCGATATTGGCCCACTGTGCCAAACAGGTGCCTGCTTGTCTTGTCAGTAGGTGTGGACTTGGACCCGCACCCCGGGCGTATAATTAAATCATTTGCCATAAAGTTTTACTTAGCCAAGTTTTGTGGGCTTGTGTCAACTGCTGCTCTAATGAAGACCGACAAATTAACATTTTATGTATAAGGCCAATTAGGCGACACACTCGAAAACTAATTTAAAGCGTCCACACCCCCATATTATGTTTGTCGTGGATGCAACAAAAAGTAACCGTCTGTATTCCCAGCTGCTTGCGGCCAGTTCCGCTTCAGTTGGCATCGGGATGTCTAAGCTGCTGGAGGCCTGTTTAACTGATTTGTGGACGCAACGCTTCACCTTTGCCCGCATGGGCCTGGAGCTACAACCAGATCGCCAAGTGCTACGTTCGCCGCTCACCTATATCGTCATGGTGCTTGCCACCAGCTTTGAGCTGTGCACCGTTTGCGCCTACATCGTGCTGCATCGCAGCGATATTGTGCTCTGCTCGGAGGCGCTGATGCACGGTGTCCAGATGATCTCCTCGCTGCTGAAGATGACCATCTTTGTGTGCAAGTGCCCAGAGCTGGTGTCTCTCATTGTCGCCCTGCAGGCGTCCTTTCGCCGCTCCACCGCCAACGCAGCTGAGCTACGCATTTGGCAATTGCAGAATCGTCGCGGCCAGCTCTGCTCGGCCATATATTTCCTACTGTGTGCCGGCACCAGCGTCTCCTTTCTGCTGATGCCGCTCGCGTCAACCGCACTGCATTACTATCGAACTGGCCAGTTTGTGCCCGTCAGCTCGTTTCGTGTTGCGTAAGTGACCATCACAGAAGCGCAATAACTATATAAGTCAGGAGAAGCGTTAAAGTCGGGTTGCTTTAAAGCTGTTAAAACTTCCATCTGTACAGATCTTTGCTAAGAAGACGCTAATTCATGAGTGTGCCTACGAGTGAAACTTGCTTTAGCTGCTCTATATAGCGAACTGATCCTATGAAATTTGAAAGTAATATAATAATTATTTCATGAAGATTCAGAGCTGAGGAAAAATAGGTAGGCGGTTGGACCTGTAGGTAGGCGGTTGGACCTGTCTATATTAACATTGGCTGTTGTTGTTGATCTTGAAATGCTATATAGATTTGGCTTTATTTAAGTTAAAAGAAGGTTGGGCTAGATTTTAGAGGCTTCAGACACTAAATAACTTAGTTAATATTTAATCTTTAAATAGTCAAATTATGACTTATTATTGACTTACAATAAGCCTAAAGTATTGTCGAATTCTGCCTAGAAATGCGTGGCCCAAAATGTAGTCCAAATTTGAACTCATATATAATCTAATTTTCCCACATAATATGGGAATTAAAATTTCCCAACATTTTAGACACATTTTCAGCCAAAAGTTAAACTGCGATTAGCTTAATTCTTATTCTAATTTATTTTTATTATTTATTTAATTTTATTGAATTCGCCTAATAATACGGTTTTAAATATCTCATAAAATATACTCTATTCTTGCCTAGATATTAGAAAATATGTAGCTCAAATGTTATCCATATGTGGTCTCTATTTTTTTCAGAAAATATGGGACTTTTTATTACCTAGCGTAAAGTTAAACCAAGATCAGCTAAATGCTTATTTGAATTTATTTATTATTACTGAATTTGCCTTATTCCTGTTATATAGTCCATTTCTGCCAACTCTAAGTATAATCCATATGTGTACTTTATTTTTCCCAGAATATATGGAAATATATATTACCCATTATTATAGGCATAGTCTTGGTCAGAAGGCTATCCACTTTTTAGGCATAGTTTTAGCCAACAGTTAAGTTCCGATTAGCTAAAATCTTATTCCAATTTACTTAATTATTTATTTATTATTGTTGAATTGTATATGGTGTGAAAAACTTCAATGCTCCGCTTAAGCTCTGCATCCTTCTTGGGCTCGCGGCTATCTTATTTACCTAGCTACCGCAGACAGTCGCCCTTAGTTGTATATCTCGCTGTTGGGCACTTGCCGATCACCTCGATCTATCTCAATCTTTCCTAGGTTGCCCTATGACGTCACGCAGCCGGCCATCTATTTGCTGGACTGCTGTTTGATGGTGCTTGTGTTGACCTTCTTCTGCTGCTCCACTACCGGCGTGGACACGCTCTACGGCTGGTTCGTCTTTGGCCTGACGGCGAACTATCGTCGCCTCGTGTTGAAGCTGCAGCACGATCTGCTGCAGGCTCCAGCTAACCGGAAGCTGGAGCGTTGTCTGGCACAGCTTTTTAGACAACATGCCCAACTGTTGGAGCTGGTGGCTCGCTTCGATGTGGCCTTTCGGGACATTGCCTGCGTGGAGGTGCTCTTAATCTGCGTGCTCTACTGCTCCGTGATCTGTCAGTACATAATGCCGCACACCAACCAGAACTTTGCCTTTCTCGGCTTCTTCTCGCTGGTGGTCAGCACACAGCTGTGCATTTATGGCTTCGGCGCTGAGCAGGTGCGTCATGAGGGTGAACAGTTTGCCCATCGACTCTATCAGCTTGTGCCCTGGCATCAATTGACGCCACGGCAGCGCCGACTGCTGCTGCTGCCGCTGCAGCGTGCCCAGAAGGAGACGCAACTGGGCGCCTACTTCTTTGTGCTCGGTCGGCCTTTATTGGTGTGGGTGAGTGAGTGGCCTTGCCAGTAATTGCTGAGCTATTATCAAATCTGCTTTGTATTTGTAGATTTTTCGCACAGCAGGTTCTTTTACCACGCTGCTAAATACGCTTCGCGCACAAAATTAAACTTTCTTGGGAAAATCTCTTACATATTTTTTATTGTTCTTCAGCTATTCTCACTTATTTATTTTATTTATTTTTCAATCGTTATAACACGATTTCCCTTAGCTTCATGGGAAAAATAATTTTATTAAATAATATGCTACTTTTATTATGTCAATAAGAATTGATGCACATCAACATTGTTTAATTATAATCTGCAGAAAAAGTTCCTTCTAATTTAAATGCCTGTTTATTTCATTTTAAAAATAAATTAAACAGTCTGACATTTCCAACTTTTTTTGTTCTGACTATAAAAACATTTGTTGAAAATTTGTTGGGCACATTTTTGTCCAGATTTTGTTTGAATAGGTTTTTTTTTAACAATCGTTAAGTATATCGCATTTCCATCATATGTTCTATCCCACGAACTTTATTGTTTCCAAATAGTTTGATATTCTTCCTATGTCAAACACTTAAAATTCAACCCGAATGAATCAATTATTATTGTTGTATCACTTGGTTAAATAATTGTACGCGATTTGATATTTTGTTTTTAATCTTTATTATTAAAATTACAATTAAGAGCTGGTTTCTCATTTTATGTACACACACAATACAAATACAAGTACAATTATGTTTAATTAAACAAAAAATAATTAAGTAATCGATACGCATCATAAAATACGATTAAACACATAAAAATACAAATACGAATACAAATACAAATACGAATAGGCTACGGGCTATAATTAAGTACAATTAACAATTATGTAACACGAATTGTGAGACAAGTAAACAGATACAAAAAAATTACAATAATAATAGCTATAATAATGTTTAAAATAATAATAATAATAATAAGTACACACAACTAACGGAACTATTGTAAACCATAAGTGTTGTGAAGGGGGACGGGTGGCAGGGGCGTGGAGAGGGAGGGGCTTGCAGCAGGCGTGCGCGCGGGGCAAGTGTGCAAATTTGTGTGAGAGTCCGGCGAAAAGGTATCTAAAGTTGGAATTTTATCTTTGCTCAAAATAAATATATAAAAAAAACCATTAAATTTCGCAGCTAAAACTCGCTCCCAGCTGGATGTGGGCCCAACCTGGCGCTTAGCTCAGTGCCAGCAGCGGCTCCAGCTCCAGATCCTTGCTAATTGTCTTTTTCTTATACTTCTTTTGGAGCTTCGTTTTGGATAGCTTGGATTTGGATTTGCTGGGCTGTTGCTTCTTGAGCGCCGCCTCCTCGAGCGCCTTCTCGCGATCTAGAAGCTCCAGCTGCTCAAATATGTTCTTCGGATGTGGATGGGTGCTCGGCTTGGTCGCATTCTTGGCCGCATAGACGACCACAAACTGTGAGAAGGCCGAATCTGCGGGCGTATTAATGTCAGCAAAGTCACGGAAGTTGGCGAACTGCTCCTCGGGATATGTATATTTCTGGATGAACGCCTCGCTGGGACGACCATGGCCATTGTTGGCATCGCCATAGATGTAGTCACTGTTGTCCTCTGGATGGTAGGGCATCTCCTCCTCCGGATAGAAGGTGCCGCCACGCAGCACACCAAAATCACCGCTGCCCAGAATGGCTGCATCAAAGCCGCGCTGCTGCTGCTGCTGGGCTGGCGGCAAGAGCGGCAGTTGCAGCGGCGAGTTGTCGCCAACGGGACCAGCGGGACCGGCGAAATAGGGACGCGAGTGGCCCAATGGCGGCGCCTCATGGTAGAAAGGCGGATAGAAGTTCTGCGCCGCCTGGCTGTGCGAGTCCGCACCGGGACCGGGCGTTACATCGGCCCGCGAGATCAGCTGTGTGTTCGGATTGGCAATGGGACGGAACTGTTCCTGCTGCACTGGCACCGCGGCCGACACTGGCTGCAAAGCTGCCTGAAAGTGGCGACTCTGAGCGGGCGTGGCAGCAACTGCCCGATGATGTGGCTGCTGCTGCTGCTGCAGCTGTGTTGTGGGCGGCATATGGAAGTGCTGCTGCTCATGGGATCGCAGCACAGTTATGGGCGTAAAGTCATTCGGTTCCATCAGCATGTCGGTGTCTTCCTCTGGAAACTCAGCTGCAAGAGAAGAAAGAGAGAGAGGGAGAGATCAGTGAGATGAATAGACAGCAAAAACGAAATGCATCTTCCGGCAGGCGAACTAACGTCTGCTTGACGGCTCTTCGATGGGCCCCTCAAGCTAGCGGGCTTCCACTCGAAGATCGACTTCAGCATCGAGTGGCTCGTCGTCTAAGCAAGCAGCTCTTCTTTGTTTGCCCCGTCATTGTTAAGTGGCGAAATGTGTGGGTTGATGACGACAGCAAAATGTGTTGAGAAGCAAGCGAAAGCTCCAACATTTTCGGAGGCTCTTCAGCCATTTCTGACCCTTCAAAAAAATCCCGGAAATTGAAAGTGCGTTCAAAGCGGCAGTTCGCTTGCAGATCCAAGATAATTACACAATATTGTTGATGCTTAAAAACGTGTACTTCGGAAAGCAGCTCACTTTTCGCATACTAAAATATTGCACTAGCTGAAATTCTCACTTACAAGCCGCCGAAAAGTAAGGACTAGAAATTGATTGAAGGAATCTATGATATTCTTGCTATTCTCTGTATAACTATTAATTACAGTATATCTTGCTTCCTATTGGTCTATTGGTTGACGCTGCCCCACATGTTGCATGCTTGCTTGCAACATACCAAAACGTTGCATGCAGCACATCAAATGCAAAATTCTTAAAGCAGCAAATATTTTTGTCATATCACAGCTGGCACATCGAAGCACTGAATTGTTGTGCGGCACCGCTCGTGCCGCCACTCGTTGCGCGGCTCAATTACATTCAGTGCTTCAGTGGCTGGGCTCAAATTTGTAGCTATTGTTGTTGTTGTCGGTTGTTGTTATTGTTATTGTTAGCTGCCGTTGACCAGTCAAATGTCGTCTCGATAAAAGTCGATAATAATGTAAGCAGCTGGCAGCTGGCATAAATTTTGTTCTAGCCATGTTGCCTGTCAGATAGCCGAGCAAAACCGACCAATCCAGCGAGCCTCCGACCCTCCCACTGTCTATGGCCGCATGCATGGCTCCAAGCCGCGCCCCCCGGGGCCCACCAACTGCCACCTACCCAGCACGAGCCGCCTTTCATATGGGCAGTTGTTGTTGGCTGCTTGTCTGTGGCTTTATTTCAACATGAATTCGGATTTTCACTGCATGCAATGCTAACGGTATTTTTCTAGCCTTTTTCCATATATTTTTTTTGTTTTAAGCATTTCATACCCTGTTGAAAATGGGTAAATCAGGGTATTTTGGTTTTCTGTTTCCTTTTAAATAAATATTAATAAATATAGCCTATAATTCATTAGAGCCAAGTCGTCTGTCTACCTGCCTGTCCGTCCGTCTGTATGTATCAATCCTTTAAAGCTAAAGACTTTTAACTATCGATAAATTGCACGAAATCGATAAAAACCAATTTGCAGCCAGATTTTTGGATAATTTATAGAAGCTTATAAGAGCCAGCCGAGTGTGTTTAGGTGCTTTAGGAGCATTTATTTTGTGTTCGATACAGGGTATCTCTTAGTCGATTTTCATTTAGAGTTTTCAATCATGTATCGCAGCTGATAAGAGCTAGCTAGAGTGTGTTAAGGTGCTTTATGGATATGTATTTTCTTTTCGAATGCTTGTATAGGGTATCTCTAAGTCGTTCAGTTAGGGGTTTTTAATCATTGATCACAGCTGATAAGAGCTAGCTAGAGTGTGTTTATGTACTTTAGAGCTATGAAGTTTGTGTTCGACTGCTTGTCCAGGGTATCTCTTAGTCGTTCAGTTATAATTAATGATTTATAAGAGCTTAAAAGAGTTAGCCAAGTGTGTTTAGCTGTCTTAGAGATATATATTTTATGTTCGACTATTTGTACAGGGTATATCTTAGTCGAACACTCTCGAAAAGAGCACTCTGTTGTTTACTATGCATTGCATATTGACACCCGCTGGTGGCTTTTTCGGGTTTGGTGTTTTTTTTGTTTTGCCTGGCAAAACGGAACATAATGAGTTTGTTAAGTGTAATTGGCCATTGGCTGGGTATGTCTCGGGTTCGGGCTTGGGTTGCGAAGTTTGGTTCACTTGTGTGGCGGCTGTGGGGGCTGCCCGGCCGCTTGATGATTTTCGATAGCGCTGCCAGAAAATGGGTCAAACACATTTCGGCTTTTGGCAGCGATATGTCGTGTATTAAGTATAAATTACTTTATTATTTATTTGACCAGCTCGTTGGCGTTTCACTGGTGTCCAGCTTAAAGCTGGCACTGCACGTTTTTTGCATTTATTCTCATACCCTGTATCCACTCAAAGCGGGTGATTTCTCCAGCCCCATCAAATATTTACATGCTATTGTAACTAATCTGAACTGTGTATTGTTTATTTATGCGGGTCGTCTTTTAAGTGTTGCTTTCAGATCCGAAAGTTTGATGAAAAGAGAATATTATATAGAGCCAGTCGGGGTAAATGCGAATCGCGCTTGTCTCCAAGCTTGACTATGGACTGTTTCTCTAATTTGCCAAATTGCCAGCATGTCCGCTGGCCAAAGACAAGGCAGCCACAATAAGAAAACACAGTCAGGTAGGCTCATTATCAATCGAATCGGTGAATAAGAGCAACAGCAACACCCCGTTTCGAGGGAAAGGTGAACAGCAACTGGCTAGGACTTGATTGGCCTATGGCCCATTTTCAAAAATACCAAACCAATCGCAAAACCATATAATAACTAGCCAGGCGGGAGAGCTTTGGGCTTTTTATAGTAAAATTATTTGCTGTCCGCCTGCACTTAACTCATAGGTTATGTAATCCCTATACTTCAAGTTCCATTTTCATTCTAAGATAGGTGAATAAAAGTAAGCTGTCGCATTGAATGATTGAAGAAAAAGATGCTATTTCGATTATCCTGGCCGACTAGCAAAAGGACTTACTCCTGCAAGAAGTAGAAATGGTTTACTCGAGAAGACCAGGAATATTATTTAAAAATAGCATATAGACTTACTCTGATATAATTAAATTTTTTCACAGTACCATCTGAATTTTATTATCATATTATTTGAACCAGCAGCCAGTTTATTTTTTATTATAAAATGTTATAAGCACATAATCTTTTGATTACAATAAGCATTTCAGGGTATTCAGTTCGGAGTTCTAAGCCATTTAGCACGCAGTTAGTCTTAGTCTCTAGTCCCATTTTGTAAACGATTATGTATGTATATATATACAAATGTAGGAAAAGAGACGTTTATAAAGCCCATATTATCCCAATAATGATCCAATACACGCTTATATATGTATGTACAGATATGTATATACTACTAATTATGTGTTAATTCGAAAATACATTAAAGTTGCGGAACAGTTATCCAATACTCACACTGAATTGGCAACTGTTACAAGACAAAAACGAAAGCAATACAAAAGTGAATAATTATAAATTATTTTCGGTACAATTTTCTTCTATTGTGCAAAAATGAAAATAAAAAAAAAAAACAAAATAAAGACTTGCAATTGCTTTTGCCGTTGAAAGTGGCAGCAAAATCAAATCTGAACTCGAATCCGAATCTGAATCCAAACACGAGTCCGAATGCTGATGAAAGCGATTCAAAAGGCAGACGAACACAAATCGCGCAACACTTTCATCGAGTGAGTGTCTGCTCATCAATCATTCATTCATTCATTCATTAAGTCATGCAACAATCAGACAACAACAAAAAAATATTAAAACAAAAAAATAACGAAAGCTAAGTGCAAAAACTTCAGAAAGTCACGAAACTGCAAACAAAGTTGTAAAGTAAATAAAAAAAGAAAGAACTGCGTTTATCGAAATTATGTTGATAGAACAGTCAATACCCTATTAACGGGCTTAGGGCATGCTTATGGCAAGCAAAACATAATTATACGTCTTATTAATTGCTCAATATATAATACTTCATTTAAATTCTGCATATAAAATGCATTTATTTTTGTATTATATTTATTCTGGCATAAGCCGACTTAATAATGCCCATTGTTTTATCCACACTCAAAAGCTACAGAGTATAATAATACACATACACATTACAAATATTTACACTTTATTAGTTTCGACTTAAGATGTGTAGGGTATTGCAATGCGTTTGCCAATTCCCAGCTAAATCACATGGAGAGGGGGGAGAGGGGGGGTGAGAGTGCGTCAGAGAGTGAGACACCTGTTTTCGCTCTTCTTCTAGCGCAAATAAAGCAGTATACGCAGATCTATACATAGATAAGAATGTGTGTGGCGGCTCTTGCGCTGAAGCTGTTCTAGTTCTCTACTTCTGACTACCCCGCTGACCGCTCTGTCTCGCCATCATGTCTATCACAATTCAGTCAAATTTTGGACATCGAGAAGTGATATAAGGTCTAAATTTCTAAAGTGCAGTGAATTGTTTGTTAAATTCCGAAGAATGGTTCAACGAGTGGAGTGTAACAAAAAGAAACTTCAGAAAGTCAGCAAACTGCAAACAAAGTTGAAACTAAAAAATTAAAATTATTTTGGTTGAACTGTGAATACCCTTCAATGGGTTTAGTGTATGGATTGGATTTATATATCTGAATGAATATCTAAGTAAGATTCAAGCAGGAAGTAAACAATTAAAAGCTTTAATAACTGTTCAATCTAAAATACTTTTTTTTCATCTAAATGCATATGCGAATTTGTTTCAGTAGTTAATGTAATCTACTTTGCAATGCTAAGAATTAGACACAATTTAAATATATGTATATGCAATGATACACAATATGTATGTACACCTTATTAATTTCAATGTGTTTGCCAAACCCCTAACTAAGTGGTAAAGTGAAGAGGAATAATTGAGAGACACACATTTTTTTTTGTCACTTTTTGTCGCTTTTCTTCACACTTAACTAAAGCTGTATATGCAGATCTATAAATAGATAACAATGCACCTGCGCTGAGGTTTGCTACTTGTCCATTCACATTAAAACTAACTGTTCTTATTCTCTACCTCTGACTTGCTCACCTACCCTTCTGTCACGCCATCGGCTCATTTACAATTCAGTCCAATTTTAGGCATGGAAAAGCAAAAGTTCCTCTTCATTTATTAAGTGCAGTGAATTAATTCCTCATAATTTATCAAGTGCAGTGTGTTAATTAATAATAATAACGGAAAATCTAATTGATGAAAATCGAAATGGTTCAATTAGTGTAAATGATTAAAAGCTTATCAATCGTTCAATATATAATAAATATATTCATTTATTTAAATGCATATGAGAATTTGATTTAATATTCAATGTTTTCTACAATGCAAAGAACACAACTTGAATAATAATAAGTACATAATGTATGTGCACCTTGTTATTTTCCATTCGAGATGTGAAGGGAGTGTTAATGCATAAATGATATAAAAAGTGAGATTACTTTTGTTTTTACTTTTTTCGCTCTTCTTCTGGCAAAAGTAAAGTAAAGCAGATCTTTATATACATACATAGATAACTTGGTACCTTTCCTTTCACATAATAACTAGCTGTTCTTGACATCTACTTCTGACTTTCTCACCTACAACTCTGTCACACCATCGGCTCAGTCAGAATTCAGGCCAATTTTGGACATCGTGAAGTGAAAAAATGTCTACATTTCTAAAGTGCAGTGAATTAATTAATTAAAAAAAAAATATATCTAATTGATGAAATGTCGAAATTGTTCAACTATTGTGGTGTAACAAACATAAAAAATCAAATTCAGTCTAACAATAAAAAAAAACTTCAGAGAGTTACCAAACGGCAAACAAAGTTGAAAATAAAAAACATAATCATGTTGATCGATCAATGAATGCCCTATCTACGGGCTTAAAGTATGGATAGGATTTATATATCTAAAAGAAGTTGTAAGTAAGATTAAAGCAAGAAATAAATAATTGAAAACTTAATTAATTGTTCAATATTTAATATTTTTTTTTGTTCCTCTAAATGCACATGAGAATTTGTTTCAGTGTTTAATGAATTAATTTTAATGCAGGGATTAAAAACAACAATTTAAATATATGTAATAATACACGTACATACATATGTTAATGCACACCTTATTATTTGCCAAAACCTTAACTAAAATATAGAGAGTGTGAATGAGAGTGAAACACCCTTTTTTTGTTACTTTTCTTTCGCTCTTTTCCTAACATAACTAAAGCTGCATACGCAGATACATATGTATATGTATACATATGTAGATAATACTGTGCGCGGCTGCACCTGCGCTGAACCTGAAAATTAACTGTTCTTGCTCTCTACTTCTGACTGTCACCTCATCTGTTCAGTCTTAATTCAGTGAAATCTTAGACATCAAAAGTTCTCTTCATTTTTTAAGTGCAGTGTATTGTTTATTAATGTCTGAACAATATCTAATTGATGAAAATCGGAATAGTTCAGCAAGCGTAGGGTAGCAAAAAACGGCTTCAATAAACTTTAAAAAGTCACCAAACTGCGAACAATGTAGAAAAAAGAAAATGAAAATTGTGTTGATTGAACAGTAAATACCCTATCAATTAGAGCATGGATTTATATACCTGAAAGAACTTGCAAGTAAGATTGGGGCAAGAAATAAATTATAAATGCTTTATAAAATTTTCATTTTAAATTCTTTTCATATATCGGATTGCATGTAAGATTTTGTTTAGACACGATTTGAATATGAGCAAAAATACATATAATATATGTAATTACACCTTATTAATTTAATTTCGTTTGCCAAAACCTTAATATATAATAATAATAATAGAAAGGGTGTCTTTCTCGTTTTTTTTCGCTCTTCTTTCTTCGTACTTTTTCATTCGCATAAAAACTAACTGTTCTTGTTATCTACCTCTGACTTCTCCGCTGACCGCTCTGTCACGTCATCTGCTCAGTCACAATTCAATCAAATTTTGGACATCGCACAGCGAAACAATCTTTATTTCATATGTGCATTGAAATAATTAATATTATCTAAACAACATCTAATTGATGAAATGTCGAAATGGTTCAACTATTGATGTGTATACATATAATAATATGAAATGTAGTATAATACAAATAACAACATCGAATTTGGGAATTAAATTAATAAGCGCGACGTAAGTGCTAAATATGTTGTTGTCGTGATTATTGCAATTATTGCTATTGTTGTTGTGGCTTAAATTATGAAAGTGTTAAACAATAAGCAGAAAGAAGAAAAGAAAAGTAAAGCCAAAGCAAAGCAAAGCGCAGATATTTCATAATGATTAGCGCGCACTGAGCCAGACATAAAGTGAAAAGAAGAAGGCAGGGAGAAAGAGACTATAGACTAAAGTGAGGCAAACCAAATAATTATAGTCATCAAGATGTGCGAGTGTGTGTGTGCAGGGAGTGTGTATGCATGTATATGCACACAGTTGAGCTATAAACGGTACGGGTGATGTACGGGTGTGTGTGAGCTTTCAGTACTCGTAACATGATGACCCTGATGACGATGTCGAGACTTGGGGTACAGGGGCGTATGCGTTGAATTGAGCGCGTCGTGCCCACAACAAATGGGAAGAGTACCTGTGTGTGTGTGTGTGTCTGTGTACGTTTGTGTGTGTGCTCATGCACCATGACACGTTCATATGTTTAGTCATTTAGATGCGAGAGCGAGAAAAAAAAGGGTAAACAAAAAAAAAATTGCACATAGCGATTGCTGTCGGTGATTTTACATTGTATTTTAAACATGACACTTCTTCAATTTGAATTCACAATTCGCTGATTATCGCTGGCTTTGTGGCAACCACTTGTGGCGCGCTAACGCAACGGGCAACAGTGGCTGCGTGGGCGTGGAGCCGTGTAATTAACACATTGTTCGGCCTGCGTGTTGCAATATGCCGTCGCATTAGTAAGGCGACCGCGTCTAAGTGGGCGTTAAATGGGCGTTCATTATTATGTTTATTGTGTTTTGGTGACGTCACATAAATGTCTGACACTTAGCTCAGTTTATGCATTGCACATTCCTCATTGCTGCATGCGATTTGATTAAGAGAAGGCAAATGAAGTTCGGGCTTATCGCATGACAGTTACAAGGGTTAAGTGTACGGGTATTATGGAGATTTTTTTTAAGACTTTTTCTGCTTTGAACTGTAGTTTTTTTTTTAAAAACTGATCTGGCTTTTGATTAAATATTTTACAACTAAATTATATCGTTTTGCCAATTGCATGAAAGTCCGGATATTTGCAGGAAAGCCCCATAAAGAAGACAACCACAATATACAAAAAACTCATAAAAAACATGCTAAAAAATAAAATTTAATTTATTTTGAATATAAAAGATTTAAAAAAGTTTGAGTTTTTCAGTTTTATGCCCTTTTTGATTTAGTGTGATTTTTTCCAAGATTTCTAAAAAGTTTTTTTTGTCTTATCTTTTGTTTTTATTTTGAAACATAAATAAATGAAACCAGTAAATTTTTATTAAATGTAGTACATTCAAATCTTAATGAATTTCGCAGAAGAATAATTTATCATTAGAAAATTTTGATTGTTTTATATTTTAAATAGAAAGGAAACCAAAAATGTGTGTTTCGCCTCAAGCTGATTAAAAATGAGAATTTACTGGAGTTAAATAATTATGACTAAAATTTCTTTTTGCAATTTTTCATAACGTTGCAATCAGTTGTAAAATAGCATGAATATAATTTATAAGCTCGTGGTTTATGTGGCAGCAAGAGAAATAGCTGCAATGACAAGTCGACTAGTTAAGTTAGAGAAAGAGAAAAAAAAACACAAAAAATGTATGAAATTGGCGCGGCCCACACATTGAGTTTTGATAAACAGACACGATAATTCATGGCACGACTTGATTATGATGCATGCCAGTTGTGCCGCATGCCCGCCCGCCACAGGCGACGCCCAAAGCAACTGCAACTCATCAGCGGCCGGTTGCAATTTTCCGGCACTTAGCTGGCACTTACAGCGACTCGTGCGTGTTCAACTATATATGTGTGTGTAAATGCGTGTGTGTGTGTGTGTGGTTTATAAATTTCAAAATTCCGAGTTAAAAACAAAATATCAGGATTGCCAGCGTCAGCGTCACTTTCACTAGCCCAAGTCCAGCTAAGCAACAAGTGATTAAAATTGCAGTTAAGTGAATCGAGAGTTGCATCGCTTGCACTTGCAGTTTGACCTTTGTCTGTGGCAAGTTAATAGCGTATTTGACTGGTCAATGGTAGTTTCGGAAATGCGGATTGCAGGCACAGTTCAGACAGTTGACCTTTATGGGGACTGCATTGCGATTGCCTTTGAGACACGGGAACAATCATACTTCAGTCAAGGGACAAGATAATAATTCTATCTAAAGCTTAAATTAACAATTCGTCATGTGTTCGTAATTCCGTTTGGCATTTAAACATTTAATTGAAAGACCTCATAGAGCCGTTGACTATTAAAAAGGTGGTGCAGTTATAAAAAGACAAAGTCGAGCTGGATGTAAAAAGTTATTTCAAAATGTCACTAGTGGCATTTGAGCCAGAGACAATTATCGATAGCGTTATCGATGAACGATAGCGTGTGTTATCGAAATGTTATTATCGATTATGCTCTGCCAACTCTTGAAATTGAGCAAAATGAATGCGCAGCATAATTACTCAGCTTTACAGGGTATCTGATAGTCTGAACTTGTGCTGTTGACCTGATTCTATGTGCATGTGAATTGCGGGCGTGTGTTTTGGGCTCGGATTACACTTGAACAGTTGGAAGCAATTGCAACCTGTTTGGCTCTGGGGCTAATGGGCAATTCAATGCAACGACTCTTGCAGTTATTTATGAGCTTGTTATTATTATTATTGTGTGTCTGTGTGTGTGTGTGTGTAGATATAAACATTTGCAATTAGCGGCTTTTTATGTTACACTTTAATGACAGTTTTGTTTTTTTTTTTTTTTTTTCAGCATTTTGTGTGTTGTCATGTTTTCCGCATTGAGGCGCCCAACCTTGAAGCTGCAACTAACAACCAACTAACAACCAATTCAACAACTCAACCACTGAACAACCAACCAACCAACCAACTAACCAACAACAACACGACATTTATTTAACTTCATTTGCAATTCGTTTGTATGATGAAAAAATTTAAAAGAAAAATCACAAGAATCTTGCCCCGTTGCATGAAGCTGCTGCTGACAATGACGATGAATCAGCTGGTCAGCCGGACAGGCCGACAGTTGAACGGACAGTTAGCCGGCCGGCGATGCATGCGGTCAATGTCAGAGTGTGCATTGAGTGTGTGTGTGTGAGTGTGTGTGCACGAATCTTATTTCAAGATAAACCGCTTGCCAAGCACATGTTGCACATTACTCGTAATTGTCAATAATAATTGCTGAAAAGATGCCTTCAGATCCAACAGCGAACGGGCACAGTGTACAACATAGCACAATAATGAACATAATTGTATTTGACTAAATACCCATGAAACGTATTTATATATACATACATTACAATTTTATCATATATTCGAAACTAATAAGTACTTCGGGTGTTTAATCTGCTCGTATGAACAACTGCTAACAAGTATTCACCCCATATGTTGCACTTGTACCCATTTTCCGTTGCCGTGAATATTACGAAACGGGTGAAACACGTCGCAAATAAAATATAACGTGGATGTTTAAAATTGCAAAAGAAGTCGATTGGATGGCAAAGAAAAAAGCTGCATTTACTTGTTTTTCACGTTTAGGTCTCTGGGTCAGTCAATCGATCAGCACAAGCATGTGCATATTTATAAAACTTCAAATCGAAAAAGTTCGTGCAAATAATGAAATAATTTTTCTACTCCACAGTAAAACAGCGCTTCACAGTTGTTTGTGCGCCGCAACGTGGCGTATGAGTGATGCTATAAATTACCTCAGATTCGTTCTATGCGATTTTGCCAATGAGCTGCCTATTGATGACTGTGCAGCAGCAGCAGCAGCAGCAGCAGCAACAACAACAACAACAACAACAAAAACAGCTGCAACAACAACTGCAACAGCAGCATGCACGTAGGGGTCATTATGTTAGATTTGAATTTCTATGCCATGGTCTGGGACGCCAGCAGCTGGGCCCGAGAGCTAAATACAATGACACGAAAAAAACTTAATGATAAAACACACACACAAAGCCACAGACAACAAACAAATAAACAAAGCAGCCAGGTAAGTAGTTAGCTTGAATTTTAGTTATTCATTATTTTTTGTTGTTATTGTTGTTAGTCACATAATTAAAATTACATTTTTCTGAAAAATTGTTTTGCTTGAGGCTGCAGCATTACAGCAGATCCCACACAGATTCCCCCCACACGCTTAGCCAATGACTGAGTTCAACATATTCTATATGGGTGAGGGGCAGAGGTGCGTTGCGCCGCTGTCGGTACTCTTGAGAGGGCGCGTTCCATTTGTTAGTTGACGGCGACACCTTGGCCAAGGCTTGCGCTGCGGGCTTCAGAGCCAATTCTTCCGCATTGGCAAGCCATCTAAAGTCTAATTCAATTATAGAAAACTGTCTAGGCTTGAAAAAAATATGCAATTAGTTTTTTAGGGGTGTGGTTAAAAAAAAAAAGTTGTCGAGAATGGGTTAGGCTGGCATTGAAATGCTTATACAGAAGATCTTATTTAAGTGCAAAAAATGGTTTGTGATTTCTATGAGCAAAAAATGCAGGTAATAAATAATATGATATCCAAATAAAAACATAACGAAATTCAGCGTTGGGTTTTCGAGAATTAATGCCACAATCTATGCTGCTCACATACATACATATGTGTATATCATATATATGTGTAAATGCAACCAACCCACTGGCGAATGCATGCTAAAGTTTGGGCCCAACCCAAAACCAAACAGCGCCAACATTTAAAACATTTTAGACTTGAACTTTAAAGTTCAAAGCGACAAAATGGCATTTAACTTGACCAACAGTCGCCGCTGAAAGATGATGCTGTGAAAATGTCAAGCCGCTAAACAAAAGACTTAAGACACGAACTTTAAACAAGGACAGGCCAAAGAATAAATTCGTACACATAGCTCACAAAATATTTATACACATATACATATACATGTACATATGTGTGTGTGTGTGTGTGTGTGTGTGGCAATCATTTGGAATCTATGCAACACGTTGCAGTTGCGCTGAGGTAGCGGGAGGCAACAATCATTGCCTAATTTGTCGCCAGCAGGTGACGGGCGATGTCTCATATAGTAAATGATATAGCATGTATATGCGCGCGCACACACACATACACACACACACAAATAGCTAGATTCATAGAACAGATAGATCGATCGTTGGGTAGATGTATATATTGCATAGTTGGTTAGATTGATTGATGGATGGTTAACTCTCAGCTCTCAATTAAATAATTTTGCCTCAATGACAGCAATAATTTAGAACGTTTTCTTTTTATGGCAGCAAATACGAAGTTGATTCTGTTTTCGTTTGTGCTGACCTTTGCCAGAGCCAAGCGCAGTTTTTGCTCCATCTTTCGGCTCTATTTCCATTATTTGAATGCTTGAAGAAGCGGCTGCCTTTTTTTTTTATTATTGTCTTATTTTTGGAATTTTGCAGCGTCTCGAATGTTGTGTTGTCTTGTGATAAATGAGTTTGCTCCGATTTCAATAACATGCGATCGCTTTAATGCCTTAACATTGGAGTTAATTTCTAAAACACTTTGCCACACATGCGCTCGCAATTAGCCATCTTAGCCATGAGTCTCTTGGTCTCGGTTTCAAATTTAATTTCAATTTTAGTTTCTGTTTCGGTTTCTGTTTAGGTTATCTGTCTCGGTTTCAGTTTCGGTTTCATTTTCGTTCCGTGCCTGGCATTCCAATGCCGGGTAGGCAACATTATTAGACGCTTATGCATAAACAATTTGATTTTATGTACAGCTCGCACATGCCCCCGACTAAGCAGCCCAGACTGCGCCCATAAATCTTGACGCCTTGCCTGACTCAATTAAATACGAATGTACACACACACATAGACACATGCATACATTTACAAAGAGCATATGGCGGCACACTGTGCCTGCCTCGAGTGAAACATGAGACTACAATTCAAAACTCAACAGTTGCATCGCCCATTGATTTATCGATTTATCGAAGTGGGAGCTGCTCGCCTAATGAATTCCTCTTAGCTAATATGTATCCGTAAACTGTCGTATCATGCGCCTCTTTGCACCTTTTATGGCATCCACACGTTTCTCATTTGCATGCAAGTCTCTTTGGTTCTTTATTCTGTTGTTGGTACTTTTATTAACATTCATTTAAATTGAATGGGGATTGCCAGCGTCTGAATATGTGCGACTTTTTATAAAAACCTCGCATTGCATTAATTGTGTTCCATTTTTATACTCTGATCATCAGATAAGTATTCATAAATATATGATATGAGCTCTCTGCAGGGAATCTATGCTACAAATAGTTGTAGTACAGTAGTGTCTCTTTATTAAAGAACATATATTGAAAAGATACTGGAAAAAGATTGTAACTTATATTTTTTTTTATTGAATTGAATTTAAGTTAAAATGAGAAATTAAGGATATCTCCATCACGCCGAAGATTTATATCTCTTTTAGACAGTTCCTTTTTGCAGATATATGGGTATAGTGAAGCTCGAAAACGAGTTTGTTAAATATAATTTTAAAAACAGAATAGTTTGCCACATGATATTTGGATTAACGTAAAAGTTGTTCATACAGGAGTCTACTTTTGAACCGATAGTTCCTGTGACAGCTATATGATATAGTGGTCCGATACGTCTTGACATATGTACTGCCTTCAAGAGAAAGACGGAAGTATGCAAGGTTTCAAGGTGATAGAAATAGACAGTCAGACAGACGGGTATAACTATATCGACTCGGTTGTTGAAGCTGATCAAGAATATATATATATGCTTTATGGGTTCGAAGATGTTTTCTACTATGCGTCACACATTTCATGAGGAAATTATAATACCCTCTACAATGGTATATAGGTTAAATAGTTGTAGTACAGTATTGTCTCTCTATTGAAGAATATATGTTTTATATCATAGATATGTATACTCTTTAAATTTAACTGAACTAAAGATAAAAGTATGATTTCACTTTTTTTTTTTTTTTGATAATTACTTCAATAAGAACCCTTAGTTATATTAGTTTAAATCTATAGCCTATGTACATACAAAAAATCTTTTCTACAAGAACTCAATATTTGATCGCAGGTTAAACTTTCAGCAGAGCAGCCAAAGCAGACTGGCAGCGTGGCAATTAACTAAACGATTACGATAAAGATTACGATGACAGTAACGTCTTCGTTTGGGTTTATAGCGTTTATCATTAGCTGTGCGCATTGTCATTGAAACAATTCATTAGCCAGCTGCGGCTGCAGCTAAATGGCCGCGAGCTACAGTTTGTAATTAGATGAGCAACTTGAGTTTTGGCTCTTATCTGAGGCATACGTAGCACATCCATATCCATATCCATATCCATTACCATTTCCGTCACTTGAGTTCATTGTGTTTGATATTATGTTTCTTAATGACTTACAATGGTTTGTTTGTGGCGCTGTGGTGTTGCTGTAATGGGCCAGAGGCTGCCTGGCCTGGCCATGGCTTAATTGTTGTCTAGCTGGCAATTTGTGGCTTTGAGTTCGACCTGCACCTGTACATGGCTATATACATATACATATATATACGTGTGTACATAAATGCGCCATCATCCATAGCCATAACCATAACTCAATTTGTTAACATAATTCGCTCTGACAGCGACGCGTTGCATGCCACGTTTAGCTGCGCCATTTGCCACACGAGTCTCTGCCTCAGTTGGTGACATTGGCCGCCGTTTCCAGCTAAGCGGCTGGCGACTAATTGAACATGACATTTGCCAATAAACAACAATCGTTTAATGTGCATTATTCTGACCTTAAGCAGCATATTGAAAATTGGTTTTATGTTTTTCGTTTTTCCCTCTTGCGGCTTGGATTAGCCGCCTTTGCTGTGGCTTCGCTTGGCTTAGCTTGGCTTGGCTCGGCTTGGCTCGGCTTGGATGCTCATAAGTATCTGCCTTAAGCGCCCCTATGAACATTTATTGAATATGTTGAAATTGCTATAATTTGTTATCGTCGATCCACAATCGCAAAATGTTGCCTCTTGTTGCATGCGCTTCAATGTCAAGCTGCAAGCGGCGGCCCCAAATGATATCCAGCGTCTGCTTCAAATATCAAGTGCTGACTTTTGTTTCTACCAAGTCGGCTGCATTAGGCTATGCCATATGCATATTGGCGAATAAAAGCACTTCGATCGATATTTAAAGAGCTTCAATAGACTAGTTTTGCTTAGGTGTCAAGTTCATTATCTCAGTCTGGAGGCAGCCAAACAAAAATTCCAATCATTTCAATTGAATTGAATTTCAAGATATTTTTCAAGATCAGTTTGTGTTGGTTGACTGAGTTTTCTTTCCAAAATAATTATGAGAATAATTAATATTATCTACTTTGTTTGCAACTAGTGTATTATTCAAGATTTAGCTTTTTTCTATCAAAAAAGCTGAATTTATCTATTCATTTATTTTCTATGTTTCAAATTAAGTCCATTGATAAAGCTTGAAGCATCGCCCATATTTTCTATGTTTCAAATTAAGTCCATTGAAAAAGCTTGAAGCTTCGCCCATATAAGTCCAAGCAGATTTTAATACTTATTTTAGGTTAATATATCGCTATATATAAAACTGTTTGTCATGACTGCCTGATTGACTGATTGATTGACTGAATGACTGAATGACTGAATGACTAACTGACTAACTTTATAGTGATCAACGCAAAAAACCTTTAAAGCTAGTAAGTTGAAATTTTCACTGTAGTGCACGCTTAAACGGGATTTTGGGAAATTCAAATTGTAAAAGTTTTCTGCTTACCATCTGTTCGGCTTCAAAATCATTTAAGAGATTTTTAGCGATAAATGTTTCGTTCATTAAACCATTGACCAGCTCCATGCACGAGATTTACTACTCTTAAAGAACGGACGTTTATTTTTCGGCTGCAAGATTCTTAGTTATGATTCATTATTCGAAGGACTTTAAACGTGCTTTCAAAGGGAAGGGCGAATTCAATTTATTACAGGCGAAAACTCGGTGAAAAAGTAATAACTAAAATGCTTGGCACAAAACTTGCCACAGCCCAG